ATTAAGATCCAAATTGAACACTATCATTATAGTATCCATAAGCGTCGCATAGGTGCAATTAAGAGCCAGCAAAACCACCAATATCTGGGATCCATTCAGCAAACATAAGTGGACATCCATTAATCTGCAAAATGAAATGTATGATGTCTATACTTAAATTTAATTCAGGCAGGTCACGGTTGTATTCAAGGTCACGGTTAGGAGATCATTCTAGGGTCTGAAATTAAATGTACGAAGTCAGTACTTAAATTGAATTCATGCAGGTCACATATGTGTTTCGGGTCACAGGTAGGATAACATGCAGGATACAGAATTCAACTGTAGGAAGACAGTAGTTAAATTGAAATGAAATGCATGTCACATATGTATTTCTGTTCATAGGTATGAGATCATGCAAGACACGGATTTCAAATATAGGAAGACATCATTTGGATTGAATTCATACAGGTCACATATGTAAGATGGCGGAGGTGGAAGATCATGCAAAACACAGAATGACCTTCGACATTCAAGGACATTCTGGATGTGCTATCATTGTCACCACCGTCAAATATATTATTGATTGGGTGTTGTTATTGTATCAATTAGAGTCACAAATTCATGAAAACTATATAGAACCGTAATCTTCGATGGGATAGTATAACATACCAATGGGCAATGGGAAATATCGGTGCCGGCTATGGAAGCGTTTTGCTTCTGATTGGAGCACTCAATTGGACCTTTAACCCAGACGAAACTTGCGTTCAGTAATTGAAATCTAACTGGGGATTACGTCAATCGATTTGTGACTGAAATAATCGTTATTCGTCCGTCAATGATCCACCGTATGGAACTACGTGACCGACGACCACGGAATCAGATTTGTGACCAGATATCTCATTTAATCTGCCGGCAATTTTGTCCAGATTCGAAATTAGTCTGGGGATGAAGCCGAATCTGTAATTATAGATGGGTTTTGTTATATTAGGAAATCTTAACTGTACGCTTAAATTAAGGAAATAATATTATCAGATTAATTGTTAAATATAATTAATTAAATC